TTTTTTTTCACAAGCGTTATCATGAATAATTTTCAGAGACTTTTCAAACAAGGAAATTTACATTATTTACGGAGTCCTTCTGTGCTTTTCCATTACCTCAAATATTATATTCGCTTCGCTGCCCACAAAGAGAAGTAACGAGTGTGAACGATTCGAAAACGTTGACAAAGCAACATTCCGCACTCAGCTGTGTGAGTTATGTACAGTATATTTTCCCTGTAGTGCCTCTTTTGCTCACAGTTGTGCATCTCAAGCGCATGGGTCTCGCATGTTTATCTGCAATTGATGGGCAAAGACTGTTTCACTCAATCCAAACGCTGATATCGCGCGAGGCCTTGTGAAGTGAAGTGCGAGTCGAAAAAGGACACTGCGATAGATATTGTAAAAACGTTGCCTAGTTATAATTACAGCCATAATTACAGCCAATCTCCTCGATTGCGCCAAAGAACCGAGACTGATGCTGTTAGCTGCATTTTTCGCATTCTATGGTTTCCATGTTTCTTATTTTCTCGGAGCCTACCCTACCACATTCGCCTTTACAAAAATACTTTCTACAAATGTTTATCTGCCCGCCTATTACAGTTTTATGATAGGAGTAGGAAGCGTCATAGGTTAGTTCAGCTTACTAGCAACATATTCACCAAATTCGATTCAACTATTCAGCTGGCGGCTATATGGCTTTCTTTAACACCCAGGTCAGCAATTTTGGCCTTATACCCACAATGGTAACCGAGGTTATGCTCAGTATTGTTATGTACTTGTTGACGTTCGCCACTACTGCTAACCTGGCAACTATTCAAACGACCGATGACACATCAACATGGATCACGCCATCGTAAGTTTTCATAGATTCATAACATAGAAACTCTCATTGGTTGTCAATGAAATGTTCCTTGGAGAAAGCTACCTTATGTTACTGTAGCTTGTAACATATTTTCGTCTTGAAGCGAGCTGATAGGCTCGTTTCAAAAGTTGGAACCAGCGCCAGAAGTTGCATGTTTTTTTTCAATACTTCTTCCTAAGTGTGGGCAAGTCATACCTGGGACGAGAAAGAGAAGGGGGGAGGTCATTTTCCAGCATCTTCAATGAGACTTTTGGGCCATTGCAAGCCCTATTTCGCCTCAAAAAGCAAAAAAAGCTGAAAACTCTTTTTAGACCAATTAGAGCTGCTGAAACCGTTGTGTTCTTGACTTCGGACACCTGAATTCTTCGTTCTGTAGGCGCACAGAAGGAAACAAATATGTTTATTAGAGAATAAAG